TAAATAATTATATTAATAAATAAGTAAATAAATAAATACTAAATAAGTAAAAGAACCATAGTTCTCTTAAGGGTCACGAGAGGACATATACTAGCATCTTCCCGTGACCCAAAGCTCAGTATATAGGGAGCTACAGCTCGCTATAATTTGAGAGAGCCGCAGCCGGGACTGATCCCCACAATGCTGTCGAGATCCACCCAGCTGCATAAGTGACAGTGGGCTCTGCCTATCTACTGGCAGAGCCAGCTGTGCCCACCCTCTCCTCCGTTTGTTCCTCCCTCAGCACTGGAGGATCGTAGCGGGAAGGGGGGGGGGCAATCCCTGTGGGAGCAGTGACTGTCAGTCACTACTCTCTGCAAGGAGATGATCGGAAAGTGAGCGAGCGACGGTATGTGTTCGCTCACTTGCCGATCTATTGAGCCAACCTGTGACAGTTTTGTTGTCACACGTCGGCTCGAACTATGAGGTTGGGTGAAAATCACTCACCTCATAGTTCTCCTTTAAAGAAATAAAGGGCGTCATTCAAGTGCAACTGAAGCCAACACTTTTTAGTTTTGGATGAAGTGGAGAGGGATTATGACTGCCACCAGGTTTTCATTGCTGTCTGTGTCCCCGTTAGGGAGATTCACTTTCTCTATTTGTCCTGGTGACCATGATCACTTATAGTGAAAGAAAATCCTAAATTTTGGGTTGTCACCAGAACAGGCATAGATGGGAAATCTTCCAGTGGGGAAACTAGTTCTGATAACCCTGCTGACCTCCAGGGATTTTCTTCCCTTTGGAGGGATTTTCTCTCACTTCCTGTCATGGCTATTGTACAGGAAGTGAAGGGAAATCTCCCAATCGGAAACAGATGACAAGAAAAGTTGATGGGGTTATAACCCTCCATTGTTGTATCCAACACAGAATAAAAAGGTTTTGGCTCCAGTTCTACTTTAAGGTGTAGTTCTATGTTTGCAGTCAAATTTGAGAAAACCCCAGTAAATATTTGTTTTGTGTTCCCATTCACACAGCGTACCCAACATTGTTTTTTTCCCAATATAATTCTTACTTTTTAACAATTTCTTTCCATATAGCTAGAGTTGAAGAAGCCTGAAAAGATGAGTCTTCGCTGCCTTGTGGAATGCACGATCGATTGCCATGTCTCGGACTGGTCGCCTTGGTCTCCTTGTTCGCAATCATGTGGCACTGGAGGTGAGTGTGACGTGGTCTGTGGCCTCCAGGGGTATATGACCTATAGTCTTGTGGATGAGACTCTACGTGCCTATTTACAGTTCTTCAGTTACAAGTCAGTTCCTGGAGTTCATAAAAAGTGTCGTTGACACTCAATCGCTCTTGAGAAATCTTTCTCCCGTCCGTGCCACAAATGACTCAGCTTGTGGCGGATTCCTGTACCTGTCAGGAAGGTGAAATTGAGTCTATTGCTGACAATGGGTCCCTTGCGGGGTGCTGTGGTTCCTCCCATCAGCCGCTACATCCCCACAGAACACAGTAGTGATATAGGGGGCAAGGGAAGGCACCACAGCACCCTACGAAGGACAGGTTATTAGATACACCCAGAATTGTTGGATAGCGGCTGCGCCTGAAGCCCTTACATGAGAGCAGCTACTGTGTTTCCCCGAAAATAAGACACTGTCTTATATATTTTTTTGCCTCAAAAAAACACACTAGGTCTTATTTTCAGGGGATGTCTTTTTTTTTTTTAATGTGCAACAAAATGTACAACAATCTAAAAGTTATTCATGTACAACAATCCAAAGTTATCTGGTATCACTCCGCCTGTCACAGTAATTGGCGCTATAGAGGAAGTATTGGCTAATGCGGCTCTGCTCCCTCCGCCGCCGCAGCCTTGCTTTCTACAGCGCCGGCTTCCTTTGCCACCAGGGACAGTGGTACCAGCGGTGCAGCAGTGGGGACATCATACAGTGGACAGGGCGGTAAAGTACGGTACCATTTACCGGTACACAGTACAGTACCATTACATTAAGAAGTGCCTTCAGGGGGACAGCAGTTGGTGAAGTTTGGTACTAGAGTGCTCCCTGTCACTGCGCTGGCCGGAGGGAGTCCCCTGTCATCCCCTTAATACAGTATGTCCCTGCAGACTGATACCATCTCTCCTGCTCTGCAAGTTCCCCCTCACATGCTACCACCAAACTAGGTCTTATTTTCGGGGTAGGTCTTATATTACAGGAATCTTAAAAAATAGTGCTAGGTCTTACTTTCGGGGTAGGTCTTATTTTCGGGGAAACAGGGTATATACATTTAGATCTGTCAGGATGACAGCCCCAGAGCCTGCAGCTTTAAATACAACTCAGCAATGGTAGGTTCCAGGTTTATACCTTCACATGATCACTTTTATATCTAAACGTGTTAAAAACTATTTTCATCTAATGAACATGTTTTTGTGAGTAAGGTGATAAAACTGCAAGGTGATTGCTAATTCGACTTGTTATTAACACATGAACCTTTTCTATACTTAATGAACCAAAGTGATTTTATAACATATGATGTCATTCCATATGCTACTGTTACATATCACAGCTTATTATGGGTTATGCCGCTGGGGAAGTCAGAAATGGAGAAGGATTTGGGGGTCATTGTAGACCACAAACTGAAAGGTAGTTTGCAGTGCCAGGCTGCTGTAAACAAAGCTAGCAGGGTCTTGTCCTGTATTAAAAAGGGGATGTATTGCAGGGACAAGTCTATAATTTTGCCACTTTATAGATCATTGGTTCGACCTCATCTGGAGTACGCGGTCCAGTTCTGGTCACCAGTACTAAGAAAAGATGTCCTTGAGTTGGAAAAAGTCCAGCGAAGGGCAACCAAACTAATTAGGGGTATGGAGGACCAGAGCTACGAGACGAGGCTACTAAATTTAAACATGTTCACATTAGAGGTGAGGAGATTAAGGGGGGATATGATTTCCATGTACAAAATGTTTAATGGTGGTAGCAACATTAGCGATAAACTGTTTAAAATTAACTCCGTTACAAAAACTAGAGGCCATCACCTAAAATTGATGGAAAAAAAATTCCAGCACAAGGGGCGAAGGGGGTTCTTCACAGTAAGATCAGTTAGGGTCTGGAACTCACTGCCACAGGCGGTGATTTCAGCAAATAATGTGGAATTGTTCAAGAAACTTTTGGACGATTTCTTAAGGGACCGTAATATACAGGGGTACGGGTACTCCTAGAATGAGATCCTAATAGGTTGGACTTGATGGACTAATGTCTTTATTCAACCTCAAATACTATGTAACTATGTAACAGCTTGATGAATCAGATTCTCCCGGTCCTTCTTCTGTATCTCTTCCATTCTCTGCCTCTCGGGGATTCATGCTGCTTCTCTCTCATTCAGTTATGCGTTTTCTTTGTCTGTCTTGTTCATTCTTTTTTCTATTTGTGCTCTCGCATTTTCCATCCTACCTTGCTTCCTTCCTGCTTTCTCTCTTTTCTTCCTTCCTTCTTTCCTTACTTTTTTCTCATTCTACCTCTTTCTCACTCTCCCTCATTCTCATGTATTCTTCCTCTCTGTCTCCCCCTTTCTCTATTATTCTGTAGTCACATCCCCCTTCCCCTTTCTCTCTCTTTCTTGTTCATTCTCTCTTTTTTCCTATGTATTCTCTTTCCATATTGTCTGTACCTTATTCTCTCTTCCTCTCTCATTTTCTTTTTCATTGGTTCTCCCGCTCTCGTACATTCACCCCTCTCTCATTCTCTCTCTCTCTCTCTCTCGTTCTCTCTCTCATCAATTCCTCCCCTTCTCTCCCTCTAATACATTAACTTTGCTCTTATTCTCTCCCTCTCTCATACATTCTCTCTCTCCCTTACATTCACCTCTTTCTCATTTTCTTTTTTCTATCTTTTCTCTTATCCCCCCCACCACCTTGTACATTCACTCCTCTGTCATTCTTTTTCTCCTTTACATCTTTACATTCACTCCTTTCTCATTCTCTCTCTCATATTCACTCCTCTCTCATGAATTTACTCACCTCTCATTCTCTCTCATACATTCACTCCTCTCTCTCCCTCTCTCTCTCTCATTCAATCCTCTCATTCTCTCTTTGATACATTCACACCTCTCTCATACATTATCTCTCTCTTCCCCCCTCTAGTATACATTCACTCCTCTCTCTCATACATTTACTCCTCTTTCATTCTCTTGCTCCTCTCTTTCTCTAATACATTCACTTCGCTCTCATTCTCTCTCTTCCCTCATACAATTACTTATCTCTTACTCTCTCCCCCCTCACACGTTCACTCCTCTGTCATTCTTTCTCTCCCTTACATTCTCCTCTTTCTCATTCTCTCTCCCTCTCATACATTCACTCTTCTCTCATTATCTCCCTCTCTTGCATACATTCACTCCTTTCTCATTCTTTTTCCCCGCCCTCTCTCATACATTCACCTCTCTCCCATTCTCATGATTTCTCTCCTCTTCTATTCTCTCTCTCATTCTCTCTCTTGCATACTTTCATTCATTCCAATCACATTGTCTCTCTCTCTCTCTCCTTCCACTCTCTGTTTCTCTCTTATACATTCAGTTCTCTCTCTTTTCTCTCATACATTCACCCATCTCTCATTATTTTCTCTCATACATTCACCCCTCTCTCTTGCATACATTCACTCCTTTCTCATTTTCTCTCTCTCTCTCTCATCTCTCATTCATAATATCCTCTCTGATGGGCCATGAGTGATTTGTATAAATTTCATTTTGAGGAAGAAACACTTGCAGTGGCTCAGCTATCACGGTAGCGATCCGTGTGCCCTTAATTAGTTTGTGTTATTTCTATATACTTTCCGGCTCTTCTTCTCATTTTCATTGTATATAAAAGCAGATAATAATAATCACAATCCGTGACTCTTCCCAGCAGGATTACGGCGGCTCTGTGTGCTCTGCAGCTAAACTCTGAACAGGAAATGTCTGGGAAACATGTTTAGCATGTTTGGTGAGATCTCCTCTCGGAAATGCAATGCGAGATTTTGCGATTCACCAAATACTTTTATTAAGCTAAATAGAATTAGGAAACGCTGCCGTTCTCTTCTCTTCAAGGTCATCTCAGCTCGCTGCTTGTTCAGAGGAGTAGCCCGGCGCTCTGACTGGAGATGTTGATCTGTTTTTATTACATTGTTACACTTACATTTCATGGTGCATCAGACATGACCTACAGTAAACACAATTTATAGTGAGAAAACCTTAAAAAGTCTTCATGAAAGTGCAGTGTTCAAAGTGTTTATTTCTCAAATATAACATATGCCACATAAAGCTGAACCCCGGCCTTCTCTTCAGTCTTGCCCAGTTGTACCGGCTCCCCTCCTGGGCTGAAATTGCTTTCTCTGACTTCACTGCACACTGTGAGCTTCTTATAATGTGCATTAGAAGCTGCAATAGATTCCTCATCATTTCCTGGCTGGAGGACATCTAGCATGATCTAGTCCTTTCCTCCCCAACTGTCCCTGTCCCTCCCCTTTCATTCATTGGATTTCAGTTCTTACAATCATGGAGGCTCAGCATCACATGTGGTCATTACACATGTAAACCCGCAGAAAAAAAATCTTTTGTTTTGATTTAGATTGATTTGGATTTCTATTTCGTTAATCTTTCAGATCTGAAATTCAATCTGGTTAGTTATTCGGATTTCGGAACTATCTGAATTTTCATTTTGGATCTATTCGGATGGGGTTCTTTAATTATAAATTAACATTGCTTTAAGCAGAAAATGCTGCACAGGGGAGAAAGCCCCGGGCATAGGAGGTATGTGTTTGCCTGTTGGAGTCAAAGTGTGGACCCAGATTACCTAATATATATATATACAACACTGTGTGTGTTGTAAAGTAGCCACCGCTCCTATAGCTCGCTCCTGTGATGGACTACTATATCATGTGTAATTTATCCATTTGTATTGAGGTTGTAGTCTATCATAGGAGTGAGCTTGGAGCAGTGACTACTTTACAACACACAGGGACCATGGGGAACAAAAGTAGCCACCCTCCAGAAGGAATGACAGTGTCAGCACCAATTCAGAGATGATTTGATACACAAATAAGATTTTTGTTAATAGTTAGGGTACCTGAATGCATTTTTAAGATTTAACTCCTGAGTTTAGGGTCCATTTAACGAGAACCATCAAAAGATTAAAGGAGAGCTATGAGGTGAGTGATTTTCACTCAACCTCATACTTTGAGCCGACCTGT